CCCCCCCCCACTACCAAAACCTTGCCACGCAAAACCAACACACTTGTAAAATAAAATACAATTATCCTGAACTGCATTGATTCATTTCTTACTTGTTAGAAAAATATCAAACATGGCTTTCTCTTTTTAAATCCATGCTGGTTAATGTTTCTCATGTAATAGACAACCAGGTATGAAATTAAGTCTAAAATGAAATAATTTCCTCATAAAAAGCTTTGAATTGATGAACTTGAAATTTATGAAGATTTCTTATCTGGTAAACTAAACTGAGCTACTTGATTTGTAGTCCATGAGGAACCAAGAAGGGGAGAAAAAAAAGATCTGGATGTGCATGAAGGAGGATTAGCTTTATTAGGAAAGGCAAAAATGATTCTGTAGTTGAGACACAGGTGATCTGAATGGGCTTAATAAAAGCTTCTTTAAATGGTAGAAAAAAGAGGATTAGCTTTATTAGGAAAGGCAAAAATGATTCTGTAGTTGAGACACAGGTGATCTGAATGGGCTTAATAAAAGCTTCTTTAAATGGTAGAAAAAAAATGTATTAATATATGCTAAAATCTATAGGGGAAAGATCTCTTAAACGGAATATGTAGAATGATCTGTATTCATAGTCATTGTGTGTCATAGAAGTTTTTAAAAGAACTAGCTAAAGTGCTAAAATGACCTAAAATGCATACAAGGTAATAATATCTTGCTGACTTTGATGCAAACCAGTCCAGAGATAAATCGTCTATTAAGACTTCTGAATATTTTCATCTTTAATTCTGATATATCACTACTAAAAGCACTAGCTTTCTGCTACTGTCTGTATCACTGATGGAAAATTTATTACCTATATTTACGGTGATAAAAGACTTCAGGAATTTTTTTTAAGATGCCATGTGAATCTTGAAACTGCTATTATGTCATAACTGGATTAAGATACAGTAGCTTTTTTGAAGTCATGAATATTTTGATTATCAAGAAATATCTACAGATTAACAAAGTACTATTTATATTTGCAGACACAACCTTTGCTTGCCTCAATATTTCTCCTTTTTTTCTTTTTTTTTTTTTTCCCCCAGGGTACAATATAGAACTATGATAGCAACTGGAGGAGTCATAACAGGACTGGCTGCCTTAAAAAGGCAAGACTCTGCCAGATCTCAGCAGCATGTAAATCTTGCCGCAGCACCAGCTTCTGAGGAGAAGAAGCCAGTTAGACGCCGGCCCAGGGCAGATGTAGTAATTGTCAGGGGCAAAATCCGTCTCTATTCTCCATCGGGATTCTTCCTTGTTTTGGGAGTGCTTATTGCATTCCTGGGAATCGCAATGGCCATCCTTGGATACTGGCCCCAAAAGGAACAGCTTTTAGGATCTGAAGATCATCTATCTGTAAATGAAACCCAGGTCCTGAGAAGCCAAGGAAGCATTTTACTTCGTTTCTTTGAACAGCACGTGCACTCTGATAAGATGAAAATGCTGGGCCCTTTTACTATGGGCATTGGAATCTTCATTTTTATTTGTGCAAATGCCATTCTGCATGAAAACCGTGACAAGGAAACAAAAATCATACACATGAGAGACATATACTCCACTGTAATAGACATCCACACCCTGAGAATCAAGGAACAAAAGCAGCTGAGCAGTGCTTTCACTGGCTTGTTGGGGGAAGGAGAACTCAGGCACAGTGGGAGCTCGTGTGCGTCACGGCTGGCTGCGAACACAGTTGCGTCTTTCTCTGGCTTCAAGAGCAGTTTTAGAATGGATAGTTCTGCTGAAGAAGAGGAGATTACCCTAAACGAAGATAGGACTGCCGGTAGCCTCCTGCCACCTCTGCTGACTGAGCAGTCTGGTTCAGTCTTTGGACTTTACCCTCACTCCAGCAAGGCTTCAGATGACAAAAACACTAGCTCTATAAAGTGTGAAACAAAATCCATTGTATCATCTTCCATTAGTGCTTTCACACTGCCAGTAATTAAACTGAATAACTGTGTTATTGATGAGCCCAGTATAGACAACATAACCGAGGACTCGGAGATCACTAGGAGTCGGTCTAGAAATCTGTCGATGGATTCTCTGCCCATTCCACTAACTGATACCAATGAATCCTACAGACCGGCCGCTACCATGCTGCCACGACACAATTCCCTTGTGGACACCCCATCTGATCAGTTCAAGTCTTCTATGACTCTCGGACCAAGCACGGGAAAGCTTTTATCCCCTGGCGCTGCCAGAAAACAGTTTGGGTCCAACACATCTTTGCATCTTCTGTCTTCACACTCGAAGTCCCTGGACTTGGACAGAGGTCCGTCTACGCTCACTGTCCAAGCTGAACAGAGGAAACACCCCAGCTGGCCCAGACTGGATCGGAGCAACAGTAAAGGATATATGAAACTCGAAAACAAAGAGGATCCGATGGATAGGTTACTTGTGCCACAAGCAGCAGTCAAGAAAGACTTTACTAATAAGGAGAAGCTTCTTATGATATCAAGATCTCATAATAATTTGAGTTTTGAACATGATGAGTTTTTGAGTAACAACCTAAAGCGGGGAACTTCTGAAACAAGATTTTAATATTTAAATTGCAGTTTACAAGATGTCATACAGTATTTTTTAAAAAAACATTTTGACAAGCATTTCCTTTTCAGTGAGACTAGTACAAGCCTGTTTTTAACCAAATGCTTAATAGCCCATTAAAATTGGCATCTGTGAACAGAGATCTTCACCTTTGTAATGCCAAGAGTTTTTTGTCTTAGTAACATACAGCTGCAATACTGTACATTGTCATTGCTCAGAGAGTTTTGGTACGACTGATTCCAATTTTTCCCAAGTCATTCTTTCTTTTGTTCTATATAAGCATGTTACTTTTTATCAATTTGACTCCAGAAGCCTGCATTAGGAAAAAAGCTGCATTTACCTATAAGTTCTGTTTATTTAATGACTGCAAGAGTCTAAAAACAGTGCTTGCAGTCTAGAATGGGAAGTGAGCAGGAGCACATACTGGAATTGTCAAATCCAGGCCTTTATCCTAGGTGTTGTCTTTCACATACGATACATCTCGGTAACTACAATCTTGCCATTGTCATTGTGAGAAACTTGTTTACATATTGGGGTGGGTGGATAGAAAAGAGTGGGTATTATTAAAAACATTTTTGTGAATTCATTGTAATTGGTCAAGTTGAATACCAGTGTTGTGAATATTAACTATGCTTTGTACAATAATCTTTCTACATCCATTGTAATTTAATCCTGTAATTCTGGGAAAACTTATATGAAGTAAGCAATCAGAAAATTCGTCTGGGATTAGTTCTCTAAATCACTTTGATTGGCAGCAGGTTTAAAATAAAAATATACAGATTCAATTAAAATCATAGGAACATGATGAATGCCAACAGGATTTTAGAAACCCAATGTATAATAAGATGATACTGTGACATGAATCTGAAGAAAATCATGGAAAATGAATATATTGCCTCTCATTACAATAGCAAGAAGCTAAATAACTACATCTCTATGTTCAAAATACTGATACAAAGCATACAATTCTGTATATATACTAACATAGTGTGAAAGCCCCTTGCCTAAATTTTGATTCACATATTTCACATAATTATTGGCATGATGGTTCACTAGAGGCTTAGCTGTGGTAATTTGCATGACAAGATTTTGCAAAAGGAATTGACATTTAAAACAATGTTTTTCTCAGCAAAGCAAGCTTCACAGTTGACAGTTGTAGGCTATTGCTAAAGAAAACAAGAATTTGAATGTGCATACCGGAAAGTTTTCATGTATTTCATTAAGGTATTTAGGCCATGACAGCCAAACTAGAGAGTATCACTTCAAGCTGCAAGGCTCACCTAACAGGATGTTGGTCTTAATTGGTCGTTCTTGATATAGTCGCTTAACCTAAATACTCAGGAATTATTGTTAATGGCTTTTCCCAATAAGAACCAAACCTGTTAAAATGTCATTGTTCTTCAATTACTTTGATTATGAAAGATCAAAGATAAAAATACCCTCTCTCTTTTTTTAATATTCAGCTCCATATTTCAACTGCGCGATGTTTATGTATCAGGAGCATTGCTCAGTGAATTGAGGCATAGTGTTAACTGTTAGAACCTCAAGCCTATATATTGTAACAGAGTTGGCTAAATATTTTGCTATGAAGCTTTTAATAACTTTCTGGTTTGTGTTCTTAAGACATTTGCTATTTTTTGAAATAAAACGTCTATCTACATATATCTGCTGTAAGACCTGTTTTTCCTCTATGATCTCAAATCTTCCATATCAAAGTATAATTAGGTATCACAACATTGTATGTAACATTGAGCTTAATATATTAGACTGCTACTCGATATTTGGCTATGACTAATTGATTTCAATGACATCCCTACACACGTAAAGGCTGAGTATTTTTTTCATGTAATGTGAAATGTATTTGATGTGGTTTTGATAGAAGGAAGTTTTATATAAAAAGAACATTTTGTTCTTTCAGTTTGATGGTAAGTATCCTTATAAAAATGGAAAACACTGTTAAAGACATGAATGATGTAAGTTTTTATTTCCTTAATAGCTACATTAAATCATAGCTTAAAAGACTGTTTATTTTATTGGGTACCATCATATGTGGGAACAGTGATGCTTTTGTAAGTACAGCAGGACACGAGCTTTGAATTTTAACATAGTAACCTGCTACTGAAAAATGTACTCATTTTGGAAGAAAATTAGCCACTTGGGAGACCAAGGTGAAGCTACTGACTTAAAGCAAGAAATCAAAATAGCACTCTGCTATTTTATTATATAATTTTATAAT